TCTCTCTCTCTCTCTCTCTCTCTCTCTCTCTCTCTCTCTCTCTCTCTCTCTCGTGTGTGTGTGTGTGTATGCGCTTAGAGTTACTTTTAATTCATAATTAATTCATAATTAAAAAGAGAGAGATTTATAAAATGTCTCTAGATTTATTCATGTTGGCACATTTTTAAAAAAATACATACAATGATATTTGAGGTCATGGCCAATTAAGCCAACCACCTTTCTCTTGAGAGCTGCAAGCATAAGGTTCTACTGGCAGCAGTCCTTCTGAGTGACTACCATAGAAGCTGACTGCATTTCAAGCCCCCAATTGAAACTTTATCTTCCACCAACTCTGTGCCATGGACTGAGATTCAGAATGTCCATTTCTCACACTTCCTGAAACCTGTATCTGTTTTAAACTGGCATTTGAATATTTGAGAGTCCCCCAGGAGATGTACCACTTTATCCTCATCTGACATCCAGTAGTTCCCATATCATTACTTTCTGCCCTCCCATATGGTTCACCTCAAATATCACTTTCTCTCAAAGGAGAGCTAAACCTCATGGTCCTCAGAGTGTCCCATTCAATCTATCTCAATAAGCCTACTATGTTCCTTGACACAGCTCCCTGATCAGACCCATCCTTTCAGCTACCTTCATACTTCCACAGACAAGCCCTACAGCCTTCATCTGCTCCCTAAGTGCTTGAAGAATAGTAAACAGTATTTGGTCAATAATTACCAACATTGGTGAAAATGAAACATTACTCTTATTCAATGAAGAAAATCTTTTGTTCGATAAGTGGTCCACAGAGCTGTACAATAGCTGTGTAAAAGATACTATAGTGTGAAGATTATACTGTGAAATCTAGTGGCTTCTCTTGATTCATAAATAAAATTCATTTGCAAAGAAGAGACTCTGTGTTTCTTTGCAGGAAGCATATCACTATACAATCCCCTAGAGAAGCATCTCTTAGAACTTGCCTTTGGCAAGAAAAGCTGCCATTTGAGTTTCATCAACAAGGTGTTGGGTCAGATGGCAGCAGAGAGCATCAAGCCACTATGGACTTGATTAGGAAACAAGATGGTTCTATTTATCTTAGTATGGTCTTTATTGCTACAGTAAAACACTCAAGGTTGCAAAACTTTTAGAAAGAGATAAGTATGGCTCATGAATCTGGTGTCCAAAGGGCCCAAATATCATGGTGCCAGCCTCCAGGTGAAAGCAAAACGGCATGGAAAGGCCAAGCATGCAGAGTGGTGTGGCTTTGTAATATGTTTTTCAGAGTACTGATTCAGTTTTTGTTCCTTCCCAAGAGACAGCACTGATCTGTTCATAATAACAGAGCCCCTGTGACCTGAGTACTTTCCTCTAAGCCTGGCCTGTTAGTGACATCTCAATATCTCCATTAAAGGACCTTTGCAAGGACTTCCATGCATGAACCTCTGGGGAATGAACCACATTCAAACACAGCACTGTCAGATCTCTAGTTTATTTAAGGTTGATGATATCTAAAGACCATAGATGTGCTGATTTTAGAAGCTTTCTAAAGTGGAACTGAAACCACCAGTCAGCAAATAAGAACCACTTATTAGTGCAAGTGAAAGCCAGTGTCTAG